CAACTGAAGATAAAAGTAAAGCAAGCACACCCCTCTACTATGCAAAATGCAATGACCTAAGCTCTTGAATTCGAATCTTACGTTAAGTCCAGTGCAGAAGTACCAAGGTTGGTACAGGCATCAGGATTCAAGGCCAGAAAAGGGCAGCTCTCAGAGAAGTTTGAGGGACTTTGCTGACACTTTAACAAACCTGGGCACAAGAGAATTCAATGCCGGCAACTTCAACACAGGGAAACATTAACGGATTAACGAGATTCCCACTGTCCCTATCTACTATCTAGCGAAACCACAGCCAAGGGAACGGGCTTGGAAAAATCAGCGGGGAAAGAAGACCCTGTTGAGCTAGGAAGATGCCATGGCAGGAAAGGCTGCTACTCAGAAAGGTTGTTGGAACTGTGGAGAGCAAGGACATATGAGGAGCCAGTGTAAGAAGAATACTACCAATAAGTCAGCTTTGGGAAACCAGTAGTGGTTTGTGTTGAGCAATGCCTACCAATTCCCATTGTGAAAGTCCCAACAGCTAAGTGTAAAATGGCAAGCACACATAGTGTCTATGTGACAGGAAAGCTGAATGGCTAAAGGTGCAGCTTAGTCATAGATTCTGCATCTCAGCAAATCCTTGTGAGTATCAAGGTGCTGGATCACAAAGGAGTACCAGAAGCCAAACAGAAGCTCTGTGGTGTGACAGGACATTATACAAGGTTGTGGGGACCAGTGTGGGTAACTATTAAGCTCATGGGCATGAAGGACAGACACAAAGTATACTTGGCCAACATTGAAGAATAATGCATATTAAGGTTGGACTACTTACTACCGAGGAAGTGTGTAGTTAACTTCGATAAAATGATGATCGGGAACAATAAAGGCCAAATTCCAGTAAGTGTTGCTGCATCTGTTGATTTGCATATCACAGCGCTTAAGTCAACTACAATACCTATATGTCAGAGAAGAAAATTTGGGGTAGGAAAAAAAGAACATCCCCAAGGAAGCCCGATGCTTGTGGAAGCAGTGGAAGACCCATCCAGGCCAGCAGGTCATCAAGTAATACCTATAACAGTGGCCAATTTCTCTAAATATGAGCAGATACTTAAGGAAGGGGCATTGTTGAGTGTGTGCCAGGAGGTAGAGCCAGTCAATGTTAAGGCAAGAAATACGACCATAAAGAAAGGACGTCCTCTCTCAGAACATTTAACTGACCCGTATAAGAAGAGTATAGTCCATTTGTCATCGTCACAGGCTCTTCTGGTTAGGGAACTTTTAGTGAATTATACAAACGTCTTTTCAAAAGGAGATCATGACCTCGGCTGCACAGACCTCGTGGAGCAGAGAATAAACACAGGCAATTACCATCCAATAAAGATACCTCCGAGGAGAATAGCCCTGGTAAAGCAGCAAGAGATGGAGAAGGTCATGGATGGCCTAATTAAGGAAGGGATAGTCGAGAAATCAGATAGTCCCTGGTGAGCTCCCGTCGTGTTAGTCCAGAAGAAGGATGGGACCCAACATTGTGGACTTCAGGGCTCTTAACAGTATCACTAGAAAAGAC